TGGCGCTAGGTGGCGTGGGAAACCACGCTCCCTGACGCCCTGCCCGTGGACGTCAGGCAGCCTCACGGGGCAGGGCACCTTGGCCCCACGATGAGCACCATTCGAGAGGTAAACGGTACAGGGCTGGGTGCGGACGCGGAGGCTGGCGCCTTCCGTGGGACACGTGACCAGACACAGAACGCGACGCCTGAGGTGAAGTTTCAGGGGCTCTTAAGTCTGGGGCGGAGCCTCCCTCCCCCCAACGGTGCCAGCTGCCAGAAGTGTGGGGCTGGCAGAGCCGTCCATCGGTCCCCTGCGCCATCTCTCCTGCGTGCGGAGCTGCCTCTGCCCCTCTTGTCACCAGCACCCCGACAGCTGCTAGTCTTTTGGGGGATTCTGGGCCAGGCACTGCTCCCAGTCCACCTCGACCAACTTGTACAGCTCCATGGTGGCCTGGGCGTCCTCCACAGACGAGTGTCCACTCTTCCCAACCTGATCAAGGGGGAAGGGAGGGCGCGATGTTATAAGACTGTTGTCCCTTCCCCACCAGCCCCGCGACCCCACGTGCTGTTTCTGCAGGGTGAGTGGGCTGCAGAGGGCACTCTGGCGGGCCCCACGCCTCGTCCGATTCCAAGGGTCCAGCTCCTGGAAAATCTGAGTGCTGTCTGTCTCGACTCTTTCTGTGGTGGCTGTGTGTGCCACGTCATTCCAGACTCTATAGGGGCAGGACACACAGTCACAGCCGTCTCAGAGCCCCTTAACTCTATGACGCGTCCACGCCTTCTCACCAGGCAGGTACCTCTTCCTTGAACAACAAACAGGTGGAATACAGGCGAGGCCCTTGTACCCACTCTGTGGGCTTCAGCCCCCCCACTCCAACCTGCTTCCTCCTCTGGGGGTTCTACACCCGCCTGAGGCTTTGTTCCTTCCCCAAGCACCCTTGGGGACACTGGGAGGTGGCACACGGGGACTGTTGTCCCCGCGTACCGGGAGACCGCCCGTGAGGCCCTGCGGCCGCCTGGGTCTCTCTGCAACCAGAGGGACGGGGCTCAGAGCCTGGGCGCGCAGCAGGGACAGCGCCCGGGGCCAAGCAGGGCCTGGCGGCCCCGGGGACCGCTACCTGGA